GCTTTTAATTTTGTATTTATCTTATCGTTTATTTTTTTAATCTTATTGTTTATTTTTTATAATTATTTTCTTATTTTTTAATAATTTGTTTCTTATTATTTTTTACTTTTTATTCACCTTTTTATTTAATTATTTTTTTAATCAAAAAATTTTTTTTTTTTCACTGCATACTTTTAATATTCTTTAATACAGGGAGCATTCATGACATTAATATTTTACAAAGCACGCTGGCTGGGCATTTTAACAAGAAAGCTGCTCCTTTCCTATTCCCATTCTGCATACTCTGACTAATACATATCTACAGAGGGGAGGGTGTCTCACCTTCCGAGTCATTTAGCTGTATGTGTCATCACACACAGTGATCGGTCTCACCTTGTGCCGTGCTCACTGAGTCACAATGCTCATTCTCCTGGTTGTTGGAGAGAAACTGATTCCAGAATCCGGAAGGCAGAGACAGCAGAAGAGACATCACCTGGAAAAGGAAGGCAATCACACAGTATATGGGCATAACTTCAGCCATAGTTACTTGTGACATAGGCTGCTTCCTGCTAATTCTCTCATTTCAATGTGTGGTTAACATCTATAGTCTCTAATAATATCAAACACAATTTACCAGGAGACCATGTGACCTTTGCCTAAGCTGTAAGTAACATGGTGGAGCTCAGAGCAGCACTTTCCCCCAAAACCCCTTAGGAGTCAGTTACCTTGGCCTGTCTGGGGGTGTCTTGCATGATCATGAGAGGGCTGGGATCTGGCACGGAGTGCCCAACAATAGTCGGGCCGAGGACTCGAGCCAAGTTCATTTTATCCATCTGACACTCCGGGCTGCGCATCACCCTACACGAAAGAGAAGGACTGCTTAAACCGGGGGCGCTGGGGAACGGGGGGGGGGGGGGTGGCGGGGACACACTCTGCGGCAACAGATCTACCCCATAGCTTACACTTTATAGCTAATTCTTACTTGAAGTGCATCTATAAACAATTTTTGTTAAAGTTTTGGTAAGAAATGGTTAAGACCAGTCAGGTTTTTTTTTTTTTATCCACTGGTGAAAATTGCCTTCACATCCTGTTATTTAGATACAACAGGAAGTGAAAGCAAATCTCTCAAAAGTGAGTGGAAATCCCCTCTTAGAGAAGTGTCACCCCCTTCAGGGGACTGTTCAGGCAGAGCTGTTGATTGGCTGGGTTAATCTCAGCATTAGTCCCCAGGAACCTTCAAACACATGACTACTGTTGGGTCACATGCTCAGCCGTCGAACAGCTTACGTTACCACTTAGTTATATACCTGTAGCAGGATTGCTAATATAGCTCAGGTGTAAATTTATAAGTAAAGGGTCAGCTTTATCCCTATGTAGTTATGTTGTATTCAGTGACGTAACTATAGCCTTAGCAGCCAAGGTGGCTGCTATGGGGCCTGGGGGTGGAAGGGGGCCCCATTAGGTTGTTAAGGCAAATTAAACATAGAACACATGATGATAATACAGCATTGTATCATCAAGGTTTGCAGTCCACTCTAATCCCCTGTAAAGTCTGCAGCCCCACCCACATGAGTGGTCAGTGGGAAGAATGCCCCACCCACATGAGTGGTCAGTGGGAAGAATGCCCCACTCACATGGGTGGCCAGTGGGAAGAATGTTCTCCTTATACTGGTAGTCAGTGGGAACAAGCGTCCCTTACATTAGTGGTCAGTGAAAAGAATACCCACTTACAATGGTGGTTTAGAGGGAGGAATGCTCATTGGTGGTCAGTCAGAAGAATGCCCCCTTAAATAATAGTCAGTGGTAAGAATGTCCCTTACATTGGTGGCCAGAAGCACCCTTACATTGGTGGTCAGTGGAAAGAAGCATCCTTACATTGGTGGCCAGAACTCCAGCCAGACAGCTAAAAAGATCACTGGTGTCATTCCACTGACTCTGCCATATAGCATTGGCTCAGGCACCATTGGATTGGACATCAGCCACATCTCAGGAAACCTCGTCGTGTATGGCTGAAGAGGGAGAGCTATTTTATTCAGGGGTTCTTCTTCCTAATGCGGTAACAATTAGCAGACAATCAGAATTCAATCACTTCACTGCAATCAGATCAGATTGATTCTAATTACTTTCTTTGTGTTAATGTAATCAACACCCAATTAAAGTCTCACCCCCAATGTTATAGATGTGTTATCTATATTGTTCACTTCAGCTCATTGGATATCTGTAGGTCTGACTCAGCAGGGGGGGGATGTTGGACTGGGGCAGAGAGACTGCTGCTTTCACACAGAGTTCCCTCTCTGGAGTATAGTGCAGACAATGGGACTCTAAAGCCAAGAATGATTAGGAAAAAAAATTATATTAAGGAATCAGACGTACCAAACTCACGTTTTTTTATCGGTACCTTGGTTTTATTTAAAACACAAGGACAGAGACTTCAGTTGGGCTTTAAGAATGAGAACCCTTATTAATGAAGGCTGATCCATAATAAAGAAACCAACATAAAGGCATACGAGGACAAAGTGTAGGCATAATGTCAGGATAATCTACACAGGATCCGGGTTACCTGTACAGGTGGAGGATGAGGAAAGCCAAGGTGTCTCGATTGGCAGGAGGGAGATCTTGCACAGCTTGACAGATCTCAGTTTTACTATCACTCTCATTGAGAATATCTACGTAAAAAACAAGATGCAGCATACAATGTAGTTTTTGTGGACTGCAAAGCCTATTTGAGGATTACATTGAATGGTCAATGGAACACAACACTGAGCTTTTCCTTTCCTAGATCAATTCTGTTACAAAAGAAATAACAAGTGACCACAATTCCTCATATGACCCTCATGCTATTAAATATTACATTTACATTGTTTGTAGTGTGTGTGTGTGTGTGTGTGTGTGTGTGTGTGTGTGTGTGGGTGTCCGTCCAGAATAAGTCTGTAATAAAACACACATAAAGGGGCAGTCCACTCTTATGGAAGCAACATTTTTAAATGCGATGTTTTTGCAGGGTGTGTGTACCGGGAGACCCGGGAATGGGCCGGAGTTTCTGTCTGGACGCTACTAGTATATAAAGGGATATTGCCAAGATCGGTCCTAATGAGGATTTTCCCATACCGCAGGATTGCAGAAGAGCTTTTGCCCTCTTAGTAACTCTGAGGTCTAGTAATCCATTGAGTGCAATATAATCCTACCGGTGGAGGTATCATTTTGTTTGGCATAATGGTTTTTTTTTACATAGTTAATCAGTAAGATTGGAATGTGCCACTGTCAAAGACATTTATAGTGAAGAAAGTAAAAGACAAACAACAGCATGAGGGTGCAGAAAAAAAATCAGGTGGACAACACGGAATTCATGTTATAAAATAAATCAATTTGTGTCCAGCAGTTCTGTATTTGAATGAGGAAATATAATAAATTGGGAACAAAATGTTCTGTTTCCAGCTTAAAAGGCATTGGGCCCTCCAGTGTAGTTCTGTCATGGAACTTTGTTGTAATTTCATCCCAGAACATACACTTAAAATCCACCAGGTCCCCCCACCCAACATACCAGCTGCATCCAGGAAATGGGCATGGAGGGAGAAGGTCAGAAGAGGCTCATGTAGGGAGCGCAGGAAATCTTTTAGAATGCTGCAGATGGTATGTACGTCTTCCTTCGAGAGCTGCTGTGACTTGACTTTACCATACAGAAGCTTCTGTTTCATCTCTTTCACCTGCCGATCACAGCCTGAGATGCGGTATAGACCTCTCTGGGGACAAAACAAAGTAAGAGAAGTTATTTTCCTCTTCCCTACCATATGGAGTCTCACTGTTCCTACCACAGCAGGGAGAGCCCCCTGTCCTTATGTTGGATTCTCCATACTGTAAAATAAGTTAAATACAAATCAAAAACCTATTTGCAATGGCCTTTCCTGTGTTCTCCCAACATCTCTGTTAATCCATCAAAGCTGGGAGACCCAACTACGTGTTAGATCGATGTCAAATGCTGTCAGATTTGGACATAGGACAGATTGGGGTAGGGAATAGGATGGGGGAGGCTCTGGAGACATTCTGAAGGTTGAGAATTGGCGGAGGTCATGTGGGAGCTAGAGAGCAGGAGGTCTTGGAAGGAGTGAAGAGAAATGGTTTAAGTTGAGGCTGGTTGTATAGCTTGGAGCAAATTGGTGGATGGCTTTGTGTGTCATCTACACAGAAGCACAAGCACTCCATTGAAGTGGTGGGGGATGCAAGTATTAGCGTGCGGGGCAGTATTCTTGGGCAAAGTGACAGTCTCCAATTGTTTTCCCCTCATTCTTATAGTTACTTTACCCCCCACAATGCCGTTACTCCCCTTCCGTTTGATCCCCTGAAGCTCAGTTAGCCCACTGGAGAGAAATGTAAATGATCGAAATGTCAAGGTAACAGGGAGCATGTGCTACTCTCTCTTTCCTACCACAGCACTGGGTGTTTGGGTGGCCGGTCACCAGGCCTAAGCATGGTCACATGGAGAGTCCTTAGACCTGTGTAAGCTTTGATCAGATTGACTTGGAGCTTACACAGCTGTTTCATGTTCCATCTATATGTGAAAAGCCAAACCACTGAGCCTTGTCTTGCTTTAATCCTCATTAACCAATTAGAAATCCACTTATGGCAGTTCAGTATAGGGCTAAATCCCAATTCCCAATTCCAGCATAAAACACAATTATGATGAATGGTGGAAAAAAAAGAGCAGATCTTCTTACCTCCCTTAGACCCCTCTTTTCGATCTCATTTACACACTGGACCACCAGCAAGGGCACCATAGGAGGAGTGGCAGGAGCAAAGTTGGAAAGCAATATCTGTTAACAGACAGATTACAGTTACACAGAGCCCTAAACGTGTTACGGTTACATGGTATAAGCATTAAAGAAATGTACAGTAGCAAAAAACTGGAGGTAGTGGACTGGTGCAAGTTATCTCAGCTTCAGATTTGCTTGACTACTACTGCATATTGAAAGTAATTGCTTACTTTATCACTTTCATTAGATTTTTATACAACGGTCTTCATATACTCTCTAGTCACTACACTATATGGCTAAATGTTCATTGGCCCATGATGTTCACACATATATATAAGCTTGTAAGGAATCCCATTCCATTTATAGAAGGTTGTCCCCATTTGCAATTATAACAACCTCCACTCTTCTGGTAAGGATCTCCACAAGATTTAAGTGTCTGTGGGAATCTGTGACCATGACCCAAAAGACCATTTGTGAGGTCAGGTACTGGTGTTGGGAGGAGAAGACCCGACTCAATTGGTGCTCCAATTCATCCCAAGGGTGTCTAGTAGGGTTGAGGTCAAGGCTCTGTGCAATGCACAAGAGTTCCTCCACGCCAAACGTATCAAACTGTGTCTTTATGGAACAGAAAATGACTTTTCCCCGTAGTTGGAAGAGCACAACTGTCTAAACTCTCTTTCTAATGCTGTAACATTAACAGTATGCTTCACTGGAAACACCGGGACACAATGTATTAGGAGGGGTGTCCACATTTTACTTGTATTGAAATAGTTACCAACTTGGTGAGATAAGAGATGATTGGGTTAGAGATTGTATTGTTTTTTGACCATTCTAAGCAGACTAATCTGGCCAAAGATGGCTTGATAGTTCTATGCAGTTATCCCGACCTCAAAACCCTTCTTACATTTATTGCTCTGTTTTAGAAATAAAGAAGACCTCTTGAGGTTGAAGTCACATGTTGTTCCACAGGGAGATTTTACAACCATTTGCAAAGTATCCTTGCCTGTGGGCCCAATACTTTCCTCTTCTCTGTGGAGCAACATAAAGGATCAAAGTTCAGTTTGTTTGGTGCCGTTAGCATTGGGCAAGGATCTTAGGACAACTGGTGAAAGAATGAGAGGACACCACCCAGTAGTCCACTGTAAACAGTTTTTAGCTTTGAGATACAGTACATAGGAGTGCAGGGGCTTTGACATAAATGGAGAAGCTAGTTTTTAATGCTTATATGATGAGAGACTACAATTCAGGAGAAGCACATAAAGAAAAATATGTAGATTGGGGCAAGGAAAAGTAATTAAATGAAGGTTTTTGTCCATGACCTGCTTCACCCATGACCGATAAGTCTTTGTAGAGTACCAGTGGGTACTACAGTGACAGACAGATGGTGCCATATAAATCAAGAAGCCGAGTCATCAGAACACCAAAATCCTACCATAACCAATAGGTCTTAATATGTGATATTATGACACTGCATCAATAAAGATCTACTGGTTAAGGATTTTGGTGTGCTGGCGACTCATCTTCTTAAAATGAAGGCGGTTCTAGAAGACTGCTTGCAGCACCAAGCTGGTTAATTAATGTGTTGGTGCATTTTGCTTAATCATGAGGTTGTAAGGCTATAGGGCTGGGGTAGGCAGCCTTGGCACTCTAGCTATAATGAAACTACAAGCCCCATGAGGCATTGCAAAAACTCTTGACAGCCACAAGCATGACTCCCAGAGGCATGATGGCATTTGTACTTTCAATCACAGTTGGAGTGGGAGGTTGCCTCCCCCTGCTATAGGGTATGAAGATTGTGATGGACTGTACCATTACCTGCCCCTTTTTCAGGATCGGATTCTGAACAGGCAGTAAGGCTGGAGGGCACTGCTTGGGGCAGTAGTCTCTGCATTCAGGATGTAGCAGAATCCGACAGTTTCGGCACTTCAAGGACATCTTCCCGAATCTGGTCTTGTGTCCACAGACTGAGCACTGTTCAGCACGGATCATCTGTGACAGGTTAGGGCATATTGGAATCAGCGTCGGAAGAACAGATAAGGAGAAATAAATAAACAGCAACGCCATGTCAGGGATCAGTGACAGTTGGATACGCCGTTAGGAATTTATACAGCTCCTTTACCTTCTATAAAAGTAACGGTTACAAACAAGGTTAAATAATACACACGACTAAAAACATCTATAGCAAAAGGATTTTGCTTTAAATATACAAGAGAGTCCTGTCCTGAGCAGTTCATATTCTAGAGTATGCAGGAGTAAAAAATAAGAGGTAACGGAAAGAACATAATCATTATATAAACATACACACAAATACTTTTTTTTACCCCAAGTATATGCTACATGTACTTTGTCAGACAATGGCGGAGAAAGTAGTGCAGAATCAATAAGTTATATGAAATGTGACATTACACACCCGGCATGATAACGTAGGAGGAAAAAGCCATGGATCACTAGTGGAAGAAGCAGTGCTAGATCAGGAACTTATACATAGGCTGGCAGTGGGTGGAGAAGGAACTAGTCCTGAATCAGGAACTCTAATATAGGATGGCAGTGGTGGAGAAGGAAGCAGTGCTGAAAAACTAAGCTGTGCAAAAGGTGGCATTTTGTCCCTTGTCAGAGAAGGAAGCAGTGCTGGATCAGTAAACGGTCTAAAAGGGGACAGTGTGTACCTCCTTGTCAGATAAAAGAGGAAGCAGTGCTGGATCAGTAAACTGTATATAAGGGGACAGTGAGTTCCTTCTTAGATAGGAAGTGGAGGAGGAAGCAGTGCCGGCTCAGTAAGCTTTATATAAACGAACAGTATACGTTTTGTTAGATAAGGGAGGAGGAGAAAGTAGTGCTGGATCAGTAAGCTGTATATAAGGCAACAGTGTGTGTCCTACCAAATAGAGGAGAAGGAAGCTTTGCTGGTTCAGTAAGCTGTATATAAAGTGACAGTGTGTGTCTTATTAAATAGAGGAGGAAGCAGGGTTGGATCAGTAAGCTGTATACAAGACAACAGTATGTGTCTTGTCAGAGGAGGAGTAAACAGTGTCGGATCAGTAAGCTGTATATAAAAGTGACGGTGTAGGTTTTGTCAGAGGAGGAGGAGGAGGAAGCAGTGCTGGACCAGTTGGCTGTATACAAGGAAACAGATAATGCCTTATCAGATAACAGAGGAGGAAGCAGGATATGCCTTGATGTTCAGAATGATGGAGAGAAGAGAGACGTAGTTGTGAAGTTTTATTGCCAGATCATTAAAACATTTCTTCTCACAGTTTTGGAGAGGAAGACATGCGCCTGCCACGGGACCTGCAGGGTGGGAGGACCAATGTCTAGATCCAGCTCATGCTCGGTCTCATTGATCTGCGGTAGCACAGAGGACTGATCTGTAAATGAGAGAACAATACACAGATAAACTCAGACACAGAAGGAATACACGCTTCTTGTATGTCTGGTGTAGAGGTTTTCCATGAAATCTCTGCGGCATGGTCTGTGGTCTGTCAATTGGGTCTGGGCTTCTATCACCATCTTCTCATACATGCGTTTCCATTTGTGGCCCTTTACAGTAAACATTTCAATTGTGAAAAGCCGTCATCCTAATAAGCAAATCCCGACTTGTACAAAAAGGTTCAATCTTGGCCCACCCCCTCCAACATACAAGACTCCAGGATCCCCTAGCATGTTTAAGGCCATTAGAGAGGCTTGGTTGGTGGGAAGGGCAGCCCAGTCCTGTAGGGACACACCAATGATGTAGTGGCCGGTCGGTGTGTAGGGTAGTGGGCTGGATTATTAGAGTGCAATTCCGGAAAATCGCAGAAGAGATTATGGTTAAGTGTTTGACTATGGGATTCTCAGACGGAGCTAAAGCCGGGGTGGTCAACTCATAGAGACATGGATGAGCGAGTTTGGGGAGGAGAAACTTGACTGGCCGCACAGAGTCCTGACCTCAACCCCATAGAACACCTTTGGGATGAATTAGAGCGGAGACTGCGAGCCCGGCCTTCTCCTCCAACATCAGTACCTGACCTCACAAATGGTCCAACATTCCCATAGACACACTCCTAAACCTTGTGGATGCCTTCCCAGAAGAGTTGAATATGTTGAAGCTGCAAAGGGTGGGCCAACTATATTTTTAACACCACGAACTAAGACTGGGAAGCCATTAAAGTTCATGTGCGAGCAATGGCAGGCGCCCCAATACTTTTGGTAATATAGTGTATCTATGGTGGCTCAGATTGTGCATCATACAGAGTTTTGTGGTTCTCGGTTTCACCCAGTGCTGAAATCCTGGCACGTAGCATCTACGTCAGGTTCGGCCTCAAGCCATTTCTGTGACATTAAATATGAACGTATTGATCACTGGAAGCAGAGACTCACTAGCTTGCAGAGAGATGCACGGAGAGCTGTGCGAATGTACCCAAGTAGATGATACCCCAAGAGCCCACTGTTCGGTAGATGTGACAGGGGCCCTTTAAAAATTAGGTTTGGCTGGCCTGACCTTCACATGTATTCACATCTAGCTTCACATGTTGATCATTGTGCATTCTGTAGAAGAGCGGACGTGGCAGAGCTTGTGGAAATGACCCCCTTCTCCACAGTACGAGTGGCAGAACTAATCCACCACTTACACGAGCATAATGCCACCGCCAGGATGCCGTCTGCAGAGCATGAAGCTCTGTGTCAGATGGGAACAGCCCCGCAGGCTAATGTACCTTCTCATTACACGAGTCTAAGTTTTCTCCCTCCGGCTTCGCATAGCAGCTTCACTGGAGAAACACTTAATAACATATTGTGACTGTTCCGTACAATAAGGGAACATGCACAAGACGCCGCATCCCTGCGAGGCTTCCGAAATCAGAAAACACCTCTATGCTGGTGGGAGAGCGGCGTCTACTCCGATCGGAACAATAGAGGTCATGTCCGGGTACTGTGAACATTTTAAACGGGAATGCAAATGTCCCCCAACAAAGTCATCTCCAGCCTGTTTTAGCTTTTTCGCTATTTGTGCAAAGGGCGAGGGGGCATCGGTTGAGAATGTGGAGAAGATAGGTCGGGGCCAGGGGCTCCTAGTGGTTAAAGCTGAACTCCGGGCAAAAAAGCCCCTAATTTAAATATATTTCTGAATAGCCACATGGGATATAAATCCACTTTGTGCACACCAAATGCCTTTGCAACCCCAATTGTTACATTGTAAATGAAGCAGTGGCTGGGCCCACCCACTACAGGCTGCTTGCAGAAAACTACAAGAGGGGGCGGAGACAAGACCAGTCACCCTGCATAAGGAGAGAGAGCAGCAGTGGGTGGTCTTTATTAAGGGGGGGGCGGAGACAAGACCAGTCACCCTGCACAAGGAGAGAGCAGCTGTGACTGGTCTTTATTACAGGAAGTCTCACACTGCATTACTGCACAGATCTGGAAGAAATGCACAAAGCTCACAGAGATTCAAGAAGAATACACATGACTCTTGTATTAGGACAATATTTCCTTATCCCGGAGTTCAGCTTTAAGCTGTGAGATGACCATCTACATAATGCTCCGTTTACTCAGGGTTCAGCGTGCAAATGCTAGCTTGAAGAGCAGTGTGTACAGAAAGCTTTTAGTAAGATTTGATCGGCTTTCCTGAAGCCTTTACAGCACACTCCAGCTGCAGTTTAGGGAAATTCACACCTATATTAATGGAGGACCTGGATCTCACTTTAAAGAGACCCTGTCCCCACACCAATCATTTCAAGAAAAAAAAAAACATTTCTCATACATGTTATATGTGTTATTGACCTGTAAAAGCCTCCCTTGTGAGCAAGTCCAAGACAGCTGTTTGGTGCTGCCCTCTTGGATGTGGTGTCAGCAGCCCCAGTAAACACAGAGCTGTCAATCAAGGAACGTGCAATAGCAGGGGTAGGCAACAACGGCACTCCAGCTTTGGTGAAACTGCAAATCCCATATTGCCTCCGGCTCTGGGAGCCATGCCTGTGGCTGTCAGCAGTGGCGGAACTACCGCCGGTGCAGGCGGTGCGGACGCACCAGGGCCTCCGGCCTCTAGGGGGCCTATAGCCTGTGCCATTCTGCATTGCTGTAAATATGAGGGTTGCGCCGATAAACCGGCCGCCAAAAGATATCGGCCGGAAATGGCACTTTTGGCTACATGACAAAAGTGCCATTTTTCTGCTGATACAGCAGCGCATCCGTGCTTTCTTTCCTCCCCGCTGGGCGCTGCTCTGTGTCCCAGTGGGGAGGAGAGAAAGTGACAGCCGGCCGAGCGCTGCGGGAGGAGTGCGCTGTGTTTGTCGTTTTTTTTTTGGGGGGGGGGGAGGGGGGAATCTTGCACCAGGGCCCTTTGTTCCTTAGCTCCGCCACTGGCTGTCAGAATCCTGCAATGGCTCATGGGACTTGTAGTTCTGCAACAGCTGGAGTGCTGAGGTTGTCTATCTTTGCGCCATATAATATTCCCCTTTCCCCGCCAGGTACATAAAAGAGTATATAGGGAGGTTAAGGGGGCTGTGGAGTTGGGCCAGCATAGACAGTAATTAGACACTCCCAGAAGAGGAGAGGGCTATAACATGCAAGAATGGAGGGGGTTGCACTAGGGAATGAATGTTCTGGACTGGTACATTTTCAGCAAGTTTAAAGGCACAATGCAAGTGAGTAATAATCAATCACGGAGAGAAAACACGGCAAGCAAGCAAATGCTTGATTTTTCTGTGCTTTTACCTGCAATTTTTTAGTTTGATGACAGTCTTAACTTCCATTAAGACTGAAGCTCGTTGCCCGCCATTCTCCTATCACCTCAATGGCAAACAAGAGTGCTCTAATTTTACAAGGGGATGGCAACTCACTACTCCTCTCAAAAGCCTCCACCCCGATGCAAGCAGCAGGTTGGCCCTTGGGAAGAGTTATGCAAATATCAAAACGCCTTGATGGGTGGATGTCAGTCTGTAGAAGTGAATGTTTCTAGGCAGACTGCATTTGCATACAGACCGCCCTAGTTCACGTCCACATGATGGAAATAGGTGAAATCCAATGAATGAAGGGGCGGGGCCAAGGACAGTCCGGCTGGGGCAGAAAGAAAACTAAAGCAGCCACCATGTCTATGGACTGGTAATCTGCAATATATTTTATGTTTGTTTTTGGATTTAGGTATCCTTTAAAGGAAATTCTCTTTAATATACATCACAAGTGGTCTTAAAATATGGTATGTAAGCATGGCTAGACCCAGGCACCCAGGGCACATGCCTCTACCTGGGTCTACAGTGTATATATGTTGCCATCTGTCATGAAAGAGCCAAATCCCTTTTGGTTGAATTCTAAGAGAGTGTAGGAGGGAGGGGGGAAGAGGTCAATGAGAAGGAAGCCAGAAAGGATCAATCAAAAAGAGAGACAAGGAAACCTCATTCGTTGAGCCTCGATGTGTGGCATACGTATAACCTTATGGTCTAGGTACCGAGGAGTGACCCAGGTCATCTAAGATAACAACATCCCCAGTACCATCCCTAGAATGAGGGTTGCAGAGTGTGCCTGGTGCCCCCTTTATAGCCAGAGCATCCTAGGTTGCTAAGAGCCAGCTTAGGCGATGTGTGAGGGCCATAAACATCTCCCTGCCCTGCGATAGCAACCTGGGACGCTCTAGTCGGCCTCCCGCCCAGCTCCTGGCAACCAGTAACATCAGTGGGTGGGACACTGGGCAGAGCTTGGTCCCCATAGCATGCACCCTTATATGCCCGCCTCAGGTAGTGAAAAGGCTAGGCACACCCTGAATACCCCTGTCTATAAGAGATCCTGATGCACCTAATGTGGCCAGCTGGGATCTGCTTTGCTTATTCAATGTACAATAAAAATGTTTCAAGGTATCCAAAATACCGTGGAAGCAGGAAAGAGGACGACTCTTCCGGGATCTGCGGCGCGGCGCAGACTCAATGGAGGACGTGGCTTGGATGGGACCCCCGTCTGAGATCAACATTGTTGTCTTTGCGATTACGGCCTCTTTGATCTGCAAATAAACGCACATAATAAAGAACTCCAATAAAGAAGGCAAGGGTGTGCGATTGTCCAAATTAGGAACAAAATAAATACATCTATATTGCTGTATTTACCATTCAAATGTGATAATGGCATGGCCACTTTTTCTTTCATTGATTGCTATACTGTACACACACAAACAAAATTAACAGAAATGCAGATTGGTCACATGGAACAAAGTATGTAAATCCCTACATTTACCACCACTTCCAATCCATTACATTAAAATCAGTGTTCCAGATTAGGTGTGGATGATTAGAACCTCCTTATAGGAGTATGCAGGTGAAACTTGTCTTAGTTAAAGTGACACTAAACTCAGGAGTCATACCTTTAAAAATACATTCAAGTCCCTTAACAATTATCGAAGTATCTTATTTGTGTATCACTCGGCTGTAGATCCTCAAATCTCTGAATTGGTGCCGACACTGTCCTTCCTACTGGAGGGGGTTTACTTTTGTTCCCCATGGTCCCTGTGTGTGTTGTGAAGTAGTCACCGTTCCAAGCTCGCTCCCGGGATGGACTACAATCTCAATACAAATGGAGATTGTAGTCCATCCCAGGAGCGAGCTTGGAGCGGTGACTACTTTACAACACACACGGGGACCATGGGGAACAAAAGTAGCCCCCCTCCAGAAGGAAGGACAGTGTCAGCACCAATTCAGAGATGATTTGAGGATCTACAGATGAGTGATACACAAATAAGATACATTGACAATAGTTAAAGTGACATTAAACCTTCAGATTTTTCAACATAAACCAATACTGTAATGTGTGCCTCACTGTAATCCATGGTAGTTTCCCTTCTCTTTGCTGATCTTCCTTTTAAATCCTTCTCTCTTCTCATGCTAGGGGAGAACTGCCCTTTGCAGCTGAGTGCCTCTTCCTGTAGTGCTGGCTCAGGTTGTGAATAGACATGTGCGATTCGTTTCGTTACAAATTGAAATTTGTACGAATTTTCCTGAAATTCGTAAATTCGGAAAGCATCTGAAATCCGAATTGCAGTTTCCGAATTATATCCGAAATACGAAATTCCGTTAACGAATTTCGGATCTGAATTTCTTTGAAACAGGAACTAATATTACCCCTGTAAATGAGGTTGAACAACATGACAAGATTTTTTTTTTTTATCCGAAATACGGATCCGCTGCTGCTGAGAGTTGCATTACAATACAGGCAGGAAATACGAAATTCCGTTGATGGAATTTCGTTCCGTTACGAACATTCGTTATATATTGAAGTTAAAAAGCAAAATACATTTATATTGGAGTTGATGGTAGTTTTTTTTTAAATCCGAAATTCAGATACGGAATCCGTTAACATCGACTCCAATATTAACAAAGGTATTTTTGCTTTTTAACTTCATCATAACGAATGTTCGTAAAGTTACGAAAATGTGCCAAAACTAACGAAAATTCATATTTCGTACGAATCCGAATTGAGTTTCGGATACGAATTACGAAATAACGGATATTCCGAAACGGAACTAAACTAATTTTTTGACGGCACAGGAGTCTAGTTGTGAACCTGCACACAGACACCATGTATCCATTCCAGAGACACGGCAGTCTGCTGCAAAACAGAAGTTCTCCCCAGCATGAGAAGAGAGAAGGATTTAAAAGGAAGAGCAGCAAAGAGAAGGGAAACTACCATGGGTTACAGTAAGGCGCACATTACAGTATTGTTTTATGTTAAAAAAATCTGAGGGTTTAATGTCACTTTAAGGTACCTGAATGTATTTTTAAGGTTTAACTCCTGAGTTTAGGGTCATTTTAAACCTCTTTTCCATTGACCTTTGTGGTGTCATCATCCCAAGATCAAAAGTCCCTCATATATAAGGTTTTCAGTGCCTGGGAGTCTGGCAAGGGGTTTAAAAAGATTGCCAAATTATCTAAAACCAGTTATTGCACTGTTAGAAAAATAATCTAAAAAAATAGTATAGATTTTAAATTGACTGCTTTGTTGACTGACCAGACCAGCAAATTCAGTCGAAGAGCTGACCATTTGCTGCTAAAAAGTTTCCAAGAAGCCCAAAATGTAATTTAACAGGTAACTCTTACAACAGTTGGAATCAAAGTGAATTTATCTACAAATCAGAAAGATTGCACCAATCTAACTTTCCATGGTGGTGTGCCAGGGAAAAGCCTCTGCTGTCCAAAAATAACACTAGAACAAGATATCAGTTTATCTGTAAAATAGAAGTCAAGGCAACTGGACTTGCTGTATTTTTCTTGAAGACGTTTCACTGGTCATCCGACCAGCTTTCTCAATTCAGAACGACTTACAAAAAAATTATCGGGGAATAAATATGGTGAATGTCGCTCCAATTCACATAATCGGTTAGTCACAAACAGGTGTTGATTGTATTTGCATAATTGGAGTTTAGGAGGTGTTATTATTGCATATTTATTCCCAGACAATTTTTTGTACAAGTCCTTCTGAATTGAGAAAGCTGGTCGGATGTCCAGTGAAACGTCTTCAAGAAAAATACAGCCAGTCCAGGTGCCTTGACTTATTTTTTACAGATATACCATGACCTGGATGAATGAGAACCTTCACAGATAAGATAACAGTTTGCCATTGAACATATAAGCAAACCAGGCCTTATGGAACAAGCTATTGTGAACTGATGAATCAGAGAGGTTTGGTTACAGTAACAGTGGACATGTTGGGTGAAAACTAAATATAGCATTTCAGGAGAAGACCTTCATACCTATTGTGAAGCATGGTGATGGAAATGTTATGGATTGGGGTTGCTTTGCTGCTTGGAGGACCTGGACAGCTTGCAGTCATTGAAATCAACTATGAATTCGGCATCATATCAAAGTGTACTTGAGGAGAATGTGAGGTCATCTGTACAAAAGTTGAACCAGAAATGGATCTTCCCAAAACAAAAATGATCCAAAGCACGTTAGCAAACCCATCAATGAATTCCTCAAAAAGAAGTAATGGAGGGCTATGGACTGGCCTAGTCAGAGCCCTGATTTGATATCCATTAAAATGTTCTAAAAGGGGATTTGAAATGGGCAGATCATGAAGGAGAGCCAACAAACATCTCGACCACATGTTGATGTCAGAGACTGGTGGGGCAGATATGAAAAATGCCTGCAAGACGTCATTTCTGTTATACAGGATAGTGCCATCTTATTAAAGGTTAGTCAGCCCTAATCAGCCCCGTCCTCCCCTTAGCCATTACTTTTCTGCTAATAAAGTAAATTTTTTCCATTTTTATTCTCACTCCTTTTTTTTTCCAGGGTTGCATAAGGCCCCTTACACATTGAAGTTCAGCTTGGATCAGTCTGCCGGTCTTTCAGATCGGTCCAGACTGATGCCCATGTATGTATGGGAATGCGGATGTGCGTCCTTTTACATCTGCTTGCATTAGCATCTGTCTAGGTCCGGGTAGTAAGAGTGCCGATACTTTTGATCAAGTACTCGCAGATACCAATTACCGATACTTTTTCTTAAAAGGGACAGGTCACATTTTTTCTAAAGCAATACAAACTAATGCTTTAAAGTAACTTTCTTAATATTATGATTCGTGAGATGACGAGGGAGCATGATGCCGGCTTCCCGGCCAATCAGAATGCCGGGCGCTGTGTCATTACACGGCACCCGGCTTCCGGATTTGCTAGCTTCCTGACCAATCGGGAAGCTGGGCAGCGCGTCATTGCACGCTACCCGGCTTCCTGATTGGCCGGGAAGTCGGCTCCATGCTCTCTCATCACAAGTGACGAGAGAGCATGGAGCCGTTTCCTGGCTAATCAGGAAACTGGGCAGCGTGTAATGATGCGCTGCCCGGCTTCCTGATACAGGAAGTACTGGTGCTAGGTATCGGAGCATTTGGGCGAGTACGAGTACTCACCCAAATACTCGGTATCGGCACCGATACTAGTATCGGTATCGGTGCATCCCTAATATATATATATATATATACACACACACATATAAAATGATACTGTTGTTTGCCTTCACTAGGGACTCAGGGAGGGGCATGCACAGGATGCTCCTTAGATCCAGGGATGTCTTTCATCAGACTCGTATTAATTTGATCCATGTCAGACCAAAACTGTGGGACACTTCCCGTTGGCAATACAGTGATAGGGTGGAGAAAGAAGCTATGGCAGGAGGTGTTCAAAGCCTTGACCACTAATTGGACAAACTGAAAAGAAAAAAAAAAAAATGGACACCCACTACAGAAAACAACAGGAGGGGGCGGAGACAAGACTAGTCACCCTGCACAAGGAGAGAGCAGCACTGAGCTTTTTGCACAGCCTCACAGAGAAACACAAGCACACGGCTTGAAGACAGGGAGGAAGCCACAGCTTTATTCTCTACCTTATTCAATACAACAGAAAATCTACCATAGATATAACAGAATTTATAAACACTGCCATCTAGTGACCGAAATTGTATATTGCAGTAGTTGATGCAATAGACACAGTGTATTCTAGCAAAGACCAGTCACCCTGCACAAGGAGAGAGCAGCAGTGAGCGGTCTTTATTACAGGAGGGAGCGGAGACAAGACCAGTCACCCTGCACAAGGAGAGAGCAGCAGTGACTGGCCTTTTTTACAGGAAACTCCAAGTCTCACAATGGATTACTGCACAGATCTGGATGAAATTCACACAGCTCACCAAGATTTAAGAAGAATCCACATGACAATATTTGTTTAGCCGGGATTTCAGCTTTAAAAAAATCGGCCATAAAGTATAGTAAAACAACTTTAATGCCAGCTACATACTATCAGGGCTGTAGCTACCATGGGGCGAGTGAGGCACTCGCCTCAGGCGCAGCTGAGAGGGGGCGCAGCCAGGACCGCCATTGCGAGCACAGGGCGTCATGGAAACAGGGGTGCCAGGCGGCCAATACAGCCGCAGCTCGCCAGGGGGAAAATGGGCGGCACAGGCTCCAGCTTCTCCTCGGATCCCCGCTGCTCTCCCCCGCCTGTGTGGGCAGAGGCAACAGGGATC